GGAGCTTCTACTGCTATGAACACTAGGCCCAGTTGGAGCTGGTGGGGTGTGGAGTGTTGGAGCTGGCTGGGCCTGGGCTGCTGCTTGGCTCAGGGTTGGGGTGTTTGGGTTTAGGCTGCCCACAGGTACCCAGCTCACCTCTGTCCTGCACACAGGGTGCTTCCAACCAGCAGATGCTGTTGATAGAATTACTGCTGTCTGGTTGGGATTCTGCAGTTCCCACATTCATTTAATTTAAAAAAAAAAAAAAAAGGAAAGAAACAAATAGTATAACTCAGTAGGTGGCCTCTCAGGGAAAAAGAGTTGTTCCAGTGAACCTGCAGAACATGTCAGGTATAGTCTGGGGATGGACAGATGGCCATGAGGCTCATTTGCGCCCATACATTGCAAGCTGTTGCAAATCCTTGCTGTAGCAAGAGCTGGCTCTGTATTTCAGCCATGTGTCTGTCTCTGAGCTGTTACAAACTGGTGAGGAGGAAAGAGCAGAGTCTGCAGTTTTAGGCTGTTTCCCTAATGCCCTTTTCCAGAATTGAGTATTTTGATTAAGAAATAAGCTGCAATCCTCTTGCTGGCATGTCAGTGAAGTTCCATGCAGCTGCTCTTTCCAAGCAGGGCGTTTTTCTGCAGGAGAAGCAGATACTGCCCCAGAATAATGCATTTTTTTGGTAAAGTGCAGTCATGACCTGGACCCCCATCCTGTCTCCTTGCAAATTGGTGCCAATGAACTGCATGCCATAGCTCAAGTCTTTGCTCAAGGCTTTCTCGTTTCATCTGCTGTGGTGCATGGACCCTTGCAGACACAAGCCCTGTCAGGATGGCAGTGCCCTCCCTAGCATGGGGCTGTGACCACTATCTGCTCGGCCATGATTATTCAGTGCTCCTCTAGGTTACGTTTTATGCAAAAAGGTGCTAGCCTTCATTAGAGGCATAGTAACATTTCTGGTGTCTGGGTAGCCTTATGGATTAGGGAGGGTATCAGAAAAGCGTGTGAGAACTTCCCCAACATCAGCCTATTGGCATTTTCCCTGTCATTTATTTGTTGACCCAGACATTGCTCAGATCTACAACCTACAGCCTACAGTTGCACCATGGTATGTGTGGTTCTTTTTGGCATCCATTACATCTTTGGGCAATCATGATGCTGAGGGCATGGAAACTAGATGTCTTATAACTTAAATTTGCACATTTTAGTCCAAGCATGCACCCTGTTCTGCATCTGGGATTTGACACCCCATGCCCTGGTCCAGGCACACCATGGTGAGGTTGCAACATGATCAGCTTGGCCAAGCACTCGTCTCAATAGTGCCATTGTACAGCTGTGGCTGTTGCACATCTCCTAAGGACAGCACAACGTGGCCAAGCTAAATCCCCAAAGAGTGAATGGTCTACATGCTCTGCAAGTGCTGCTTGCAAGATCAGTCCCTGCCTCTTCTGTGTCACTATTGACAGTATCATTTTTCATCTTCTTCTACTTGATTTGCAGGCTACAGCAGTCTTTTGTGCAGGTCTTTCAACATTTTCATCCCACAGCCATTTCGGTATGTCCAGTCTGTGCTCTCATCTAACAAGTACCCAAAGAGCAACCAACATCTCTTAGGCATGCCAAGATCATCCAAAGCTGACACTAATTCTGCAAAGCAAGTTCATTAGACAGAAGGATGCATTGGTTGTGACTTCTGCAAGAAGTTACAAGGAGGATGATGCCCAAGAATTCAACATCATAAAGGCTGCACATACCAGGAGCTGAAGAATCTGTGTCATAAGGGTTATAATGGCCTGTTTTCCTGACATCACTACTGGTGAGTGGAGATAAGAACGGAATTGAGAACACATCACATGTTGTAGATTTTTTGCAAGAAAGGATGGACATACACAGCCACTCACCTTTATTACGGTAGAGAACTGCAGAAAAGTGCTTTCTTTTAGTACAAATTGTAATAGTTAGCTTTCTGTAAACAGTGAGACAAAGATTTATTCCCTCCTAGATGATCTCTCATAGCTCCCTATTCAGCATCCAGTTTACTGAGATTCCTTCTCTTTTGATAATTAAATACAGTTGGAGAGATAGAGGCCCATCCAGAGGGAAATAAATTTCATCTGTAGATATGTGTAGGACAAACGTCAGGAATCACTATCCTGTTGTTGCACCATTTTTCTCTTTGGCAATGGTGGATTTGACACAGCCAGCATCTAAGAATGTGAACCCAACATTCAGCATCCTATCTGCAATGACACTCTCACAGATCAATGATGCAACTTATTGAAAAGTATGTAGGTGCAGAAACATGGTTGAATACCTAATTCTTTGGAATCAGGGGCATAAGTTTGTTGGAGACCTGAGTTTACATCCTTTCTCAAGTCAACCTTCCAACTTTCTGGTTTCTTTGGAAAATACTTTGCTCATATCTTATCCTCATATCCTTCGTCTTTGTCATGAAGTTCTGGTATGCTTATGATACAGAAGAAACATGGTAGACAACAATATCATTTTGAGCTCAAAGTGAGGTCCTGTATCAGAAAAGCTTAGTGCACAGCAGGTTGTAATAAAGAAAGCAAGGGCTACATATTTTGTCCTGAGCCAACTGATGAAATGAACACATCAAACAAACGCCATTCTTTAATGTATGCAGATTTATTCAATTCTGCAATGATTTATTTACAACTAAATGACTGATACCAACAGATGAGGTAAAAATATGAGGTATTGATATGAATATAACATTTCAAAACATAATCATCATAATGTATTCTCAATGGCAACGTAACAATAGTACTGTAGTAGCTGAATGGTAGACATGGCATAATGTGCATTTTAACAAAAATGTATTTCATTGATACACGGTTTAGAGATGCTGGGAGCATATGACAGCTTCTGCAATGGTAGGAAGACAAACTCACCTTATTAATGGTGGTAGTGGCACAGGGCCCCTTCCAGCAGAGTGACGAGTTCTCAGATAGGATAAAACCACTGTCCAGGTTTTCCCTTCAATTCCTTCAGAATTTAGTGTCAGACAATTGCTGTTCCCAGTGTCAGAGAATCTGTGTCCTTTGGTACTGCAGCACAATTGTATTCATTTATGCAAACTAATGTAGCAGAAGCACTTTAATTGCTCCTGTTTTGGAAAACAGCTGGTATGAAATCTGCTGCCATGGCTACAGGCATTGGTGGGAGGAGATGCTGCTCCTTGGGATCGCAGTCCCAACCAATGGCAGCAGGGAAAAGGCTGGATGTGGGCAGTGGGTGGTTTCCATGGCTGCCTGGGGCCTTTCACCCGGGGAGAACAAGGACCTCATGGCGAGCACGTAGGGTGCACATGCTCTCACTCATCTCTTAATTCTTAAAAACTCCCAATATTTGCATGCTGCAACGATTGTTGCAACTTGATATTAGGAAGAAATTATTTATGGTGAGGGTCATGAGACATTGGAACAGGTTGCCCAGCAAGGTTGTGGACGCCCCCTCCCTGGAAGCATTCAAAGCCAGGCTGAATGGGGCTTTGGACAACCTGGTCTAGACAAAGGTGTCCCTGCATACAGCAGGGGGGTTGGAACTACATGATCTTAAACCAACCCAAACCATTCTATGACTCTGTGATTGTTGGCAACAAACTCAACATATGAGCTTATATGTAACCGAGCTCCAACAAGCTCAACAGAACATGGGTGAGACAAAGAGAGCAGCAGCTGACAAAGGATAGCTAAAACACTGGCTATGAATGTCTCAACTGGTTTATGCAGCAATAAATAAAGACAAGGTGAACAAATGCGATTAATGAAGAACAATATTAACAGGCTTGTACATTCTGACTGAATCATAGATGTAATATCATTTTTGGTCTTAGGTTAGTTAAAAACAGAAGAGAACCCTGCCTCAATGGTAACATCAACAAATAATTATTATGACTTTTAAAGCATTCATCCATTAGCAAATAATAGGTCCCTGAAAACCTGAAAATGAAATGATATAATAGGTGTACATGGCTCCTACTCCTCATAGTCAGGGGCTGATCCTGCTCCCACCAATGCCTATAGAGGCAGGACCATGCAGATCAGTGCAATATAATAAAAAAATGCTTGCTGTTACTATAAAAGCAATCTTCCCAAGCATAGTCTGCATTTAATCTTTTACATCTCTGAGATGTGTTTAAAAGCTTCAAAAAGTTTAGTTATTTTTATAGGAAGAGTACTAAAAGGTATGGTGTTCATCCGTACATCTTTGTGTCCATTGGATGTAGAAAATCTGCTTTGGAGCTTCTTAATAATTAGCTACCTCTATGGATGAAGGAAAGAACAACACAGAAGCACTTCCTCACAGCCTAGATGAAATGCTAAACAAAAGATTTACAGCTTATTAACTCACCAGTCTGATTTCAAATACCTCAGTACACAAAGTGTTGTCTTGTACTTGCTAAGAATGAGCAGTTACACTGAACACTGACATAGTGAGGTTTTCTAGTGACAGACAGACCATTAATTAAGGCAATAGCTAAGTTTCCAACATCTCCTTGTACTGACAGTCAAAACTTTCTGTAGCTGAATATAAATGGCCTTCAAAATGTCTCAGTTACACTCCATGCACTGTATCTGTCAAAATGGATCCGCTCATTATTTTTTAACCTACAGCCACTTCCCTCCTCCTTAATTCTCTTAATTCTTCTACATCTATTTCTAGGTACCTTCTCATAGCACACAAACACAAAACAAACCCGAGAACAGACGTTTCTGTTATCACACGGGTTATGCTTGGTAGCCCTGTGATAACAGCAAACACAGCTTATGTAGCAGTGACACACTAAGGAACAAGTGACAGATTCATTTAAGGTCCAACTGATGCAAGTGACTTCTAGAAAGCACTGAGTTATATACAAAATAATTAATTTATACATATACATATATATAGATAGATAGATATAATATAGATAAATATATACATACTGTACATAATTTATTTACAATTAAAATATGCTTCTTAGAAGCCTTTAAATACCAGAGTTATGTAACACAAAAGTCATGGCAATAGTATGATTTTAAAACAATAAAGATAAAAGGTCTTTGAAGAAAATTTTACTTCAGCAATTGAAATTAATGCAGAAGGGACATGGGAGGCAAAGTCTCCAGAATAAAAGAACTTTCCTATAAAATTCCTTTTTCATTTTTGTACAGACCTGGGTCTGTTCAGAATTCTGCAACCTAAAAAAGATCTCTGCTTTCTGTTTTCCTGTTCTCTGCCATACCCTGATTTACACGTACACATTTCCACAAACACTTCCTCAGATTTTTGTTTCTGGTCCTTCAGCAATCAGAGGCTGAAATGAGTTTCTGATCCTGGCAACTTCTGCTGCACACAGATGTCCAAAGCCTTTGTTATACCACTCTGGGGAATGTCCTCTGCAGAAACAAAAAAAGATGTAGTTACTGAGAAGCCCAAATGCACAAGAACTTTACTCCACAGGAAGGGTCTTGCCACGGCCTCTACTCTCCGCTACCCATGGTGTTGTTGGGGACTCTGAGTACTTGTGACTGCAAGCAGTCATTCCTTGCAGTTATCAAACAACCAGATTTAGTTCTATGATCACATCATAACAACAGTATATACTGAACATAGAAATGAGCCTGGTGCATAGAAAAGTCCACAAGAGGACTACAAAACAGCAAAGCTATGTTATCTATGCCATCTGTTCCCAACACCTCCCCTCTCTGAGCTGGAGGATTTTGTCTCTCTGAATGAACATCTGCATTTTGCAGATAGGATACTTACTTTAGGTCGATTCTGCAGATATGGGTCAGCCTGGCTTTTCCTGAGCCACATGGCTCTATCAGATACTGAGAGTCCATCACGATGGCTCGCACCGCTCCCATAAGAGGAGCCTCTTCGTGCTCCACAGAGATGGCAACCAGCATGCATGTTCCCCTTGGCAAATCTGTCCTCCATGTCCTGCAGCAACATATTCAAGATTGAATCACTTTAGTAACTAGTCTTTCGGAGACACAGAAAAGAAGTTACAGGTTGTTTTTTTGCTAATCCTTGTAAGGCTAGGAAGCCATATCATTGTAAGGTTGATGACAGAATACTGCCTATAAATACATGCAGGGAAAAATACAGGAATGGGAGAAGAGAGTCGTATTTAAGCTGAAATGCAGTGCTGGCACAAGAACATGGACCAACTGGACAAGACTGAGGAAGGCAACTGGCAGAGCACACGTAGCCACAAAAACTGTACAAGATGTCCATGAGAAATCAAGGGAGTAGGAAACCAACCACTTCTCACAGGCACATTAACTGACTTTGTCTATGGAATTGTTGCCTGTTATGTCCTGTGAATTCCTGAAGGGGTTTCGTGTTACAAGTCCATTGGGATTGTTGCTCAAAACAGGACACAGAAATTTTATCAAGCTCAGCCATTAGATCTCTTACAAAAATGTATTAATTTTAATGGTGAGTGCCATAATTTTGCTATGAACTGTGAGGAGATTAGGATATTTTGGCATGAAATGAGGCTAATCAAGCCCCTGAATGCTCTCCTTCTGAAATGTCCCAGGGACAGATCTTGTAATCAATTCTATCTGCACTGTTTTCTTGAAAGTCAATGTCCACCTGGTTCTGCTGCCCCCACCAAGCTGGGAATCTGACCATGAGGTGGAACAGCTGACGCTGCTGCTGGCTCCAGGTGGAAAAAAGTTTGCTTCCCTCCACAGGGATTTTGTAACCATCATATATTAGAGACATGACACAGCCATTTGCAGACAGACAGGCTATCACTTTGCCCATACATCTGACTCCAAACAAGTTGAATTATTGCAGGAGTGAGAAGTCAGATGATGTGCAGCACAGTAATGGATGGGATATAGCACTACCCCAGTGACATTATAACCACTGTAGTAAGAATCAGCTTATTTTCATAAGCTTTGGAAAGGCCTTAAAGTGAGCATCAGTCATCCAGCAAAGGCTGAAATGTTGAACTGCACCCATGCAGACTATTACAGAGCAGCAAATACAGTGTGGCATATCAGAAATTCTCACTGGCTCCTGCAACTCCCAGAACACAATTTGAGGGCATCCGGATTGAAAAAAAAAAACAGTGTCCTTTCAGTTATGCAATTATTCAATCAGTGACATGAATGTACAACAATCTTTGAGATGTTATGTATAAACACAGCATGTTTTATCAGGGTGTTCTACTGCTAATATACACTGATGCACAGCAGCTGAGGAAAAGGCTCCTCATGTGGCTGGTGGTAATTACATGATTATAATTTGCCATCACACACTTCCAAGTGGCAATGTGGAAATACAGTCTTTAATGGTTAATTTCTTGCAATAGCCAAATGTTGAAACTTCATGTTAACTCTCTTAGGAATGATAATGAATCTGACGCTTCCTTTCCTTTGGCAATCTTCAGTTTGCTGTCAAACAAACATCTGAACCAACATCTAAGTATCCCAGAGGGACGGATCACCCAGGCACAAAGGTGTTGTCTATTTACTTCAGTCCTTCTGTCACTTCAGAAAGAGACACTTCCATGAAAAGTTTCTTTTTTCCAGTGATATATAGGAAGAACCAACATGCTTCTGCAGTCTCTGAAAACGGATTTTCTACCTCTTCTCTCAACAGGATCTACACTCTATGTTCTCTTTCGTTACAGGAAGAAAGGGGCATTTTCTTTCACCAGTGTTACAAAACTATTGAGCAAATTTTACTCAGGAAGAAATAATAACTGTCAAGTTTCATGAACACATCACCACATTTGTCAGCCAATTACAGATACTTATTTTCTTATTACCAAATTTCAGGCTGGCCTGTTATGACATATTTTTGTTTTGAGCACCGTCACTTGTTTCATCTTTTCCATCTCCCAAGTTTCTAGCCTCTCCAACAGGCTGCAGATGCTTTTCACAGGTTCAGGAGATCCAGACTTTAATACTTAACATTTTTTTCTTGTTCTGTTGGCATTCTCTACATTTCCTGGTATCTCACGTCTTTCTTGTCTGCCTAGAATCTCACAGGATAGTCTGTATTCTTTTCCTATGCTGTGGAAATAAAAAAAATTTCCACTGCATTGCATTACCTGCATCACCTTGCCATGGATCTCACTGTCTGAGATAGGGATTAAGCTACCGTGGGAAACTGCATGCTTGAGCAGCTGAGCAGCTTTCAGGGACTGATGAAATCTGGACAACAGATATTTTAACATTCTGCATTTTTGACATGAAATTGAGTTGCTATTCAGGAAAATACAGAAAAATACTGATTTCACAAAGCTTTGCCTGTGTATGTGCATCAATAAAAATGATGAATTATTCTTAGGAGATGCAACACATGAAGAGGTCTCTCCTGCGAGATGCTGAGCCACCACCTGCACAGTGCTCAGCTGTGACCACATCATTTTGGTAATTGTGTGACACTTAGTTGTGTCATTTCTGAAGTAGAAAACTATGTGTATCTGACTGTGCGGAAGACTTACAATTGCTATTCCTGGTTATACAGATTTAGGCTGGTTACCATACTTCTCTAAATATCTGTGAGAATAAAAATAGGTATGACACCTAACTCACAGACATGCAGTAAGACTTAACTAATGCTAAACACTTGAGCAATCTTGAACAAAAAGTGATGTAAGCTCAGGGCAGCTGAAAACTGCCTCAGATCCCAGGTATATGAAACACTGGCCCTATGCTCTTACCTTCAAGGTAGTCCTATCCCCTTATTACAACTGCCAAATTAAGAAGCAAAGTACAATGAGGTTTATCCTTTTACAGCCACCAGTCTGACTGGAAAGGGGAAAACAGCAGTCTGTTAAAATATATTTATTCATGTCCCCAGAGGTGAATTACAATTTCAGTGTTCACTTCCCACCGATCATAATGTATCAAATTGACTGCGATATCTCTGGCTAACCTTGCTCTAGACTTGATATAAATCAAAAGAGATAAACAACAGAAAGTGACAGATCTGCCTGACGGCTGTTTCCAGACCTCAAAAGCCCACTAGGATTCAGTTTTATGATATATATTTCAGTCCTTAGGGGTCATTCTGCCTGGGATAGTGAAACGAAGGAGGATTTGATGGCAAAATTTTGCTTTAACTGATGTGACTGCACAGCAGGTCTTTAAAGAACATAAAACACCATGAAACCTAATAGTGAATTAAGTGGCAAATACGAGGACAGAGTTATGGTCATCAAAACCTCCTGGCCACTCCCAGAAGCTCTTCTGGGTGTTAAGCAGAGGATCAAATTTATCACTTGTATAAACTGATAATATATAAGAAAATCAATTATGAAATAAATTAATTTAGCCCAATATTCTGCAGGAAGGCAAAGGAAATGGAGTAATGGGAGGACTAGTTTTCACATTATGAAGTCTTACAGAAAATATTTCAAAAATCTTCCTCCAAGAGTTCCAATAATTCTTGCCCCATTCCAACAATATCTGCTTGTTATAGTTCTCCAAGAGAATAATGAAGTTCATAAAAGAGATGTACTATTAAAATTATATTTTATTGGGCTCATCCTTTTCTGTCAATCTTTGTTCCTCTAATACAGTTCTGACTCACTGGACTATTTTCATTCTCAAAACTGCTTAGTATTTGTCTGGCACATCATTTTAGTCAAAGAAAGCAATGACCGAGAATGGGAACACACAAAATCATCCTGAAATAAGTAACTGCAGGACTGACCCTGCAAGTGAAATATGTCAGCAGCTCCACAATAGCTCCTAGCAGGAAAAGGGTAGGGATTTCAAAGGCAGGACGTACATTAGAGGAATATATTTTTGTTTGTTCCGTATGGGCACATAGACAGTGGTAGAACTGAAGCTGAATTTGGAATACTGATATACAGCTATACGTTTCTTTGACAGATCTCATCCCCTGAAAACAGTCAGAGTACAAATCTGCTGTCTCTGTTCATTCCCACACTATACTTTTTATGGGTTAGTGTTTTTGCGTTTCTTGGTCTACAGACTTCAACCTCAAATCTAAAATAACAGCTTATATAGAGGCTGTATAAGACCCTCAGCTTAAAAGCATTGCTATCTTCTTCACTAAACATTTAGCTCTTAAACATGAAACACTCCCTAGAGGACAGCAAAAGCAATGTAAAAAACAACTGGGTTCTGTTTGCACTGTTTTGACAACAAACAAAGCTAAAAGAACAGCAGCTATTATCAGACATCTGCTCTAAGGAATAAATGATATTTATGGCCTCAGGAGTATGTGCTGCTCAAATTACATCAGAGAAAAGGTCAGTGTGCTTTAGGTGTGTAATTTTAATTCAGTTTAAAAAATAAATGCTGCTGCCCAGAAGTAGAGTTCTCGAAGCACAATTTACAGATGCTAAGGCTGAGGTGAGATAAGAACAGATTTTGCTTGTCTGCATTGCAGACAGCAAGGGTATCAGAGAATTGCCTTTAGCTTACCTTAGAACAACAAAATCTCGGACGGGATGAGGAGCCATGCTGTTCAGAACATACTGGTAAACTTCTGTCTGCTTGTCCAGGCTCTCAACCACCTTCCACTGCAAGAAGTCCTCATCCCAAAGGTGACGTTCCCTCAGCACTCGGTTCAGAACAACTGATGGCGGGGCTTCAACTTCCACTGAGGCTTTCCAAAGCCTTAGAGGGTTCCCATCCCCGACCTGAAGGAAACCAGCGAAGAGCATAAAACTCCATGCAAATATATGCAAATACGCAGCAGAGAATAACTGAGGACAAAATCTTGGTATGGTTATCTGAGTTGAGCTTAAGATGAAGCGTGAGATTATGCAAATTTCCCTGCTAATCATCACTACTATTGCTACTGCTGCTCTTTGCATATAAAAACGTGTGCATACTAGTCCTGGATGGAAAACCAAAGTGATTTAGTACTTCTGCTTTCACACCAATCTGGACCAGTTCTCATACCAGTGGAACTGCTCGATTATTTCTGGTGTCACAGACACTATTTTAACCTCAAGCAACCCAGGTGCAGTGAAGAATGTGGAGGTGTAAAAGTGACAACAAATGAAAACACAGACTGAAACACTGCTCTGAAACAAAGCTACCACCCTGGGCAACCTGCTGCAGTAGCCAGAACTAAGGGTCAGCTCACTGAACGGAAGAACAGAACATGAAGAAGCAGAAAATAAGTTGATTCACTTGTGTGTCAGATACACAGGTGTTTCCTCCTCAAAATAGCTGCAAGAGAGTATTGGGAAGGCACCTCCCAAAGAAGGAAAACATAAGCTACTTGCCAGGTCTTTGTAACTCATGGATACTGTTGCACCTTCATAGCGAGCAATAAGGGAGCAGAAAGTGCTGGGATATGTGCAATACAAATAATCTGAATTCTTCATATGCAGCATTTCGGTGTGGTTTTAGGGCTGTTGTATTTCAGGCAGCAAACGAGTCAACTGGATCTTGCAAGACTTGTCTTCCTATCCCTCCCAATCCTGGCATCCTCACATACAAATTCCAGTGCTCCTGAAACCCCCAGCATCTCCCACAGACCCAGAACTGTGTTCCCAGAATCCCAGTTCCCACCTTTCCCATCTTAAATTACTTCATGTTGTTTTAACTCCTCTTCCCTATAGATCTCAGTTCTCCAGTCCTTCCACCTTGGACTTCTCCTAGTCCTCTCTTCAGTTCCCCATGCCCCTGACTCTAGACATATCCATATCCCATTCCCCAGCATCCCCCCCTCCCATATCCTACTCTCACCTGTGCCCTGCTCCTCACTCTTAAACTTCCCACAGTACCTCCCCAGAGGGGTCACACAGAGAAGCTGACTATAAACCAGAGTAATTGTGATTTCTCAGTGATAACGAAGGGATTACACTTAACAGGCAAATGCTGCCTCCTGTCCCCTCACCACCCAGACTGCACACTCCTTCCAGTGCCCTTCACAGTGTCACAGAATGGTTGAGGCATGAAGGGACCTCTAGAGGCCACGTGGCCCAATCCCTGCTCCAGTAGGGACACCCAAAGCAGGGTGTCCAAAGCAATGTCCAGACAACTTTGGAAGATCTCCAAGGAGGAGATTTCACAGCCTCTGGGCAGCCTGTGCCACCTGCCTGGTGTTAAGTGGGAACGTTCACTATTCCTGCTAGTGCCCAAGGCCTTTTGTCCTGGTACTGGGCACCACTGAGCAGAGCCTGGCTCTCACCTCTTGGTACTCTCCCTTCAGAGATTTAAGAATACTGATCTCCCTGAGCCTCCTCTTCTCCAGGCTGAGCAGTCCCAGCTCTCAGCCTCTCCTAGGAGCAGAGGTGCTCCAGTCCCTTTGTCATCCTGGCCCTCTACCAGACTCTCCTGTATGTCCATGTCTCTCTTGTACTGGTGTAACTACTCTCCCTACAGTGCCAGAGTAAACCCTAGCCTGCACCTTCCCACATTAGGCATTCTGGTGTGTGGGCCTCCATTCTGTTTTTATAATTCCAGCAGCTCTGGATTATCACTGCCTCAGCAAATGGAAGGATATATGTTTAGTTATCACATCACTGGGTCCCATAGCTAGGTTGTATTTCATTTTTGGTTGTTTACCTTTTCTTCCACTTCTCTCCTAATTACCTTTTTGTAGGCGAGTTCTGTATTCTCCATACTGGAACATGTGACCCATCCTTTGAATTTCTCTTTTGCTTCTTTGTGGAGATTTTGCATGAGACTTTCAAGGTACATCTGGTAGTTCCCTCCTTCCTCATCCACTTGTTTCCCAAGTTCATCCAGGGTGGGAGAATGTACTTCTGCATCGATGTAGGAGTTTCGGGACTGAGTGACCATCTCATGTGGGACCTACATCACAGAAGTGGGAGAAATCACACAGGGAAAATCTCCTGCTGAGATCTTTTCCTTAAGGCAGTGCTTTCTAGGCTGACAGACCACTTAGCGTCCAATTGCAATGAGCCTACAGTCAGTGAAATGGATAGCTATTTTTGCCTTACTGAGAAATCAAGGCAATATAATGGAACAGTCAATGGGTCAGAATAGCATTACTCATGCAAAACCACGTTAGACAGATTGACTTTATGACAATACAATTGGATTACCCCCCCTGTCCCCAAAAATGTTGCTTTGTGCTTCCAGGGAAGGGAGTGTTTTCAAGTGTTACCTCTCCTACTACTTCAGTGAAAGCAGCTCCAGGAATGACTACATCTCCCTGTGTGACTTTAATGTTACAGCATGACACAAAGAAAGAAAATGTATCAGCTCTTCTTTTTGAGATGGATTAGTTTTAATTCATGCACTAAAAGCTTTATAATAAAATGAAATGTTAAAACAGCATATTTTGTTTTTAATTAAACTAAGATTTACTAATCTTAGAACCGTAGAATAATTACTCTGCATTTTTAATAGCAGCATCTTCAAATGCTAGAAGGGAACAGTCATACAGAAATGAGATAGATAAATTTCAGAAGGAGCAACTTTACAAATAAGTGAGGCACCATCAATCTCTGTGCTAATGCAGGATAGAGAACGCAAGCATAAACATAAATACTTCAAAGGATGCTGCATTATGTGTCCATGAATAATGCCGTTTGAGTCTCTCACTCACCTCAAAAAGTTTGTTGCATTCCATTATCATGTGAGCAAGTCCCTGAGTAGCTGCCAGGTTTTCACTGAGATCCTTCTGATCTGGTTTCCCTGTTGCATATTTTTTCTGTATTACTCTGTAATTGAATTCGTATCTCAGGTAAAAAGAGCTGCATCTTTTCAATACAAAAGCAAACATAGTGGCAGGATGTTCCTAACACCAGAGCAAAAAGTCTGTCTTTAACCTTTGTTTATCACAAGGAGCGTTCAGACCACTGGGCCTTTTTTAAAGGAAAAATGTACCTAAAGCATTATTGCAGCAAAGATAAAGCAGAAAAGACTATGTATGTCCTGCATTAGGCATTATATATTTTGGAAAGGATTTCCAGCAGGCACAATGCTACTGCTTAAAGTTCTTGCTCAGAAAATGTTATATGTGTACACAACCATAAATCTCACTGCATTCTAAATCAGACAGAAAAAAATGTCAGAAGGAACAACAAGTTGGGACCACTTATGTTTAGCAGGTCTGTGTCCTGCTTAGTCTACACTCACCGTACTATACATCTTCTTAACATGGTCTGAAATAAACTCAGTGATACAAACAAGATCAAGACTTCCTGATCTGCCATCCCACATTTGTCCAGCCTGTTCTTTTAACAAGCATTGCACTTCATTTCTGCAAACATCCACTGACTGAAAGACTATGTGTTCAAATCCTTCAAAACACGAGCAATCTTTGACTTCACCCAGAGCAAAATCAAGCTCTTTCCCTTCACAGAAGGCAACATTACTAACGTAAAACTCACTAAAAACATCATTGAAAATTTGCATGAAAGGTTGGCACTTGCATATTCACACTATGCAGACAGAAACACCTTCCTGAGCTTGCAAAAATACCTTTAGTGCATGTGCAAGAGTGCTTCTGGCTATGCAGTGTCTGCTTTCCCCTCTTGCTGAAGCCATGCCCTGTGCAACGTGTCACAGAGAGCAGACACTTCGGAAAATTTTATCTTGTCTTGCTTTTTTGTGTCAAGGACAGGCTTATTTATAGTGTTATGAAGAAACTTACCTTGGAGAACTTTCTTTCTTCACTATATTGAGATGGAAGAGGGAAGGGGCCAGACAAACAGCTATGTTCATAGGAGTCATCTGATTCTCCTCCACAGAGGTGACATCACTAAGGAAGCACAGCAACGTCTGCAAAACCTCCCGGTTCTCATCTGACATCAGCATGATGGCTGCCTGCACTGCCTGCAGCCGCTGCTCCTTGGGGACATCTGCAGCAAAGCAAGGGATGTTCAGTGGGGTTAACTGTAAGATCAAAGAAATGGCTGGAAAGGCCATTTCCCGAGAAAGTCTGAATTTCATTTAAAATTTATGGAAGGAGTACTCAGTTGGTATTTTTCAGGTTACTTTTGTCCCTTGGGAAGACAGTTCAAAGCACCTAGGGGAGCTTCTGAAAAATACTGAAGTATCCTAAACTGTAGCACAATTTAATGGAAGAAGTAATGGATATGCTTAAACAGCATCTCAGATTCATGCCTAAAACTACTGTAAGTTTTTTCAGTTTGGATTTGGAGCCTTCCTCTCCATGTTACATTCGCTCTACACGATTGAAGAATAACAACAAAAGTAGATTTACTGTATAGAGTACAGCCAGCTTTTAAGCTCTGCCTGTTAATCTTGCACAAGCACTTTATTTTAAAAGCTTTCAGACATGAATGATAAACTGAACACAGTGCAATGTCTCTGATTTTCAAGAAGCACCAAGGCCAGGTCTTTCTGGGAAGTCAGAGGAGCCTCTGCCTTTCATCTCATAGGTTTGTAAACATTAGGCAATGAAGGGCTTTAGGGAAATGGAGAAAGTTCCATCAATGCTAAGCCACATAGACTGAGACGCTAATCTTCTCATTCCCACTCCTCTGTGCTATAGAAAATCAAACCATTTTGGGTACGTGAAAAACATCCTGGATATCTGAAAAAGATGTTCAGTAACTCCCAGAGAATCAGAAATCCCTTGCCAGTAAACTAAGAGAGGAAAAATCCTTTTTAACCTCACAGAAATAATTTGTTAAACAGGATGAATGGGAAGAAAACGTCCCAGCTACAAATTTATTTAATTGCAGACATTATGAAATCCAATTGGTATCCCAGCAATTTTGAACACTTTTCTTTCTGTGAAAGGGATTCTGTCAGTACCATCTAAAACAGAAAAGCATATCTGTTGTTGGTCAAGTGGAAAAAAAACACTGATACTTGTTTTTAATCCAATCATTGTTTTCTGGTGTCAACAAAAGCCCATCTTTTCCTGTTCTCACCTCATTCTAAATAGATGTATAATCAAGACTTCCTGAATTCCTTCAAAATACTTCTGTAATACAAAAATATCTTTCCAAGCCTTCTTTTTACTCTCACAAATGTATACAGTTATTCAGATTTCTCACTGTAGATCAGTGCAGAGTTAGCCTGTGCCCCTTTCAGCATCTTCTGCTGGCTGGTAGCACTGTTTCACTGTTCAGCCTTTTGGCTGCTGTGAATCCTAATGCCAGGCTCCTGACGTGGAGATGGGATTCTTTCTGGCTACAGACCTAATAACACTGATGGCATTGAGATCTGCCATATTTCTGTGCTGTTTGTTTGCAGTCTCTCCTATGCCACGATAGGACACTCCAATTTTCATCAAGCAATAGTTTAAAAGCAATCTGTTTCCAAGGACATGTAGAACACATCCTTTTTGACACAGTATTCTCCTCGGTCATTTCACCGATGGAAGCAATTGTGATTGTCATTTTATGAGCACCAATAATTCCTGTTTCTTTTATGAACAAGCTCACTGATGTGCACGTAGGCAGACATCCTTGGCTTTTTTATCTCTTTGTGAGATCTTCACATAAAAGCTTTACAAATAATCAAGTCACAGCAAGGAACAGACTGCACAAGCATGCATTCTCATGGGCATAATGCTTCTCCATGCTCAAAAGACTCACTTATACTTAAAATGTGCACGAAATGGGCTCACAGTTTAAAGAAATGTGGCACAAAGGGAAGTTTTTTACATTTTTAATGTTCATGGCCAGTCTTTCTTTCTGGTGTCTTCCTGACTGCTAGGTGAATACATTCAAAGCTTCTTAAGATTTGCATGCTCCCAATATTTTGCCAATGAAACCTTTAGGCAGTTTTAAAAATCCTTCAGCTAAGTATTTTGAGAGCAGAGATGTTCTTTTATGCACTTCAGAGGTGAGCAGAAAGAATTCCATTCAGTATTAACACATCAAAATTACTTAGAATTTATGATTACATAACTTCCAGTAACTTTGAGCTGTATACAGTAATAAATATTATGCTACTTACATTGGTAGATGTGTAGAAAAGTCTCTCCCAGCTTACTTGTGAGAAGGGGTTCTGGCAAGTCACGGAAGAATTGCTTTACCATATCTGCTACATCATATGCTGACTGGTCTTCATAGTTGACGTTTTCTGGGGAGCTCTCATTCATCTGACGCAGGGCCTGGATTCGAGACTTCACTCCAGATTTTCGAAACAGGCCCACCTAAGAAAGTGCCACGTGGAATTGGACAAAAAACAAAGTTACTTACAGTATTTTTAAAATTCCCTTTTATGGGAGGTTTTGATTACAACAAAAGCTACGTTTGCTCACTTTACACTAGGCAAGAACAAGAGGAACTCGTGTAGATGTCACAGCTGTGACTTGCCTATGATCTTGTACACAACTGCATGCTCTGGTGATGGGACTGTAAGAGTTAATCACACTGCAGATCTGTATCAGATGGTAGATGGAGCACTCAGAGTGCATGTGGTTACGCTGTTGCTTGAAGAGTATAAGCAAGATGCTTAGCTGATATAAATCAGCGTGGCTTGCTTGGCTTTGGAAACTGTCTGCTGATTTACTCCAGCTGAGAATCTTGTTCCTCGTCATTATTTGAGTATATATTTTGAAGACTAACAAGAAAATATTATGCTCAGCTAAGTAATAAATGCTGTGGCAACAGATTACTACATCCTGGTTGAGCTTTTGAATCAAGACCAATCTATTTTTTCCCCTTCCTGCTCTCTCTGCTTCCCCCAAATTCCACTGAAAACCCATCTGAAAGTGGAGGCTGCAGAGGGATTATTTGTGCAGTGTCACTAAGATACATTTTTATCTTGTTTGCTCTCTGTTCTAGAGGAAGTGGTAATTCTTAAAATGAGGCCTGCAAGTGCCTTCACAGCGGTGCTGCCCTTCTACAGAAGTTCTCACAAGTGGAATTCCCCTGGGGCGAATTCCTGAGCCTGAACCACATTATTTATTCCCAAGTTTCCATGCTTTCATTTGGGAAGTGTAAGCACTGTTTTGCCTTCATTTTTGCAGGGGAAAAGGTGAACTATTGAGAAAGATCTATAAAAAAGCATATTTATGATTTGGATGTCAGCTTTTCTGTGTCTGCTGTCTCACTCTTCAGTTTTCTACACTGTATTTCACTAAGTAAAAAGTGTAAAGGCAAGGAAGTATGCCCTTCATCCTTAATCCTCTCACTTCTGCCAGCACAGAGGTCACCTGGGTACACGCTCATCCTGAACTGCCTCTCTAGAACACTTCAATCACAAGGTACTTAGGACTTTTGTTAGCTTGTACATTAATAGCACAGATGACATGAATCACACACTGTGCAGCTCTGAGAGGGGATGTATTCGTTTATATGGAGATGAACTATTATGCCAGACTGCAAACAGTGACAGTGAGCTGCTCCTCTGTATGCCTTCTTATTTGTGAATGCAGTGTCACTCGTGATCTAAATTTATATGTAGGAATTAGAGAAGCAGAATTTGCCCTTTGTACATCCTGTGTATTGTATCTCCCTTCACAGGTGAAGCTCTCCTTAGTTTTAACAAAAGAATACAAGAAAGAGCATCTGGCTCTTTTCATTTGGTTTTCTCTTTCCCTTCTTCCTTTCAAATCCCTTTTCCTCACAGAAACGTGTTCTGAAGACGCAGAAGGACATACGTTAATCCTATCCAAATAATACAGTTTGGGTATGTGGTAGATAAACGCGAGAGCAAAAGCTCAGTTCACTGCTTCGGATGGAAAGCGTTACTGCTGTTATAAAAAAGCTTTATAATCTTCCAGCTAAGTCTGATGCAAGAGGTCAGACATCAGATCTCACCAGTGCCATCTCCTGCTGGACATCATTCTGCTACTCTCGACCTCTGTTTTTATTTAATGATATTCATCTGAACTCCTTTTTTTTTTTTTTTTTTTAATAAATTCATTATTAACCAAAAGAGAACCAGTTCTTCTCTTGATAGGAAGATATTTCATCTCTGTTCTTCAAAATTATAGACTCATTCTATAAATAAAATGAGACTGTAAATCCAGTGATTTATCAGCGATTAGTTTGGCCCAATCTCTTTATTATCCTCATGCTGTGGATCATCTGCTCTGCAAGCAGCCATATGATGCATGACAGAAATAAAGATGCAGTTGACAAAGGCATTGCAGGTTCTATTTCCTAAGTTGAAACTGAATAATATATTCTACAACTAATGGTGAGGATCCTCATATCATCTTTAGGCATTTCAGTGTCAGAAGCCAGATCTTACAATGATTTACAGCAACCTCAACTTCACTAAGTACAGAAGCTCTGACACCTATTCAGGACTCGAGCCTGCCTTCTGCAGTGCACAGAAAAGACACACAAACAAGCTGCTGGGAGGACTGGAGGCTGCTTAGACCTCTGGACAGGCATTCGGAGATTTTGAGTTAAATGGGAACAAAGGGAATGACTTTAAAGCAGAGAAAATGAGTTGCCTGGAGGTTTTTGGCCCAGAGAGGTTTTTGGTGGAAGATATTTTAAATTGTCTTGATTTATACTTCACTTTCTATTCCCAATTCCACCCTGAGGGGAAACTCAAGCTGAGCTGAAATGACCCTTCACGTAGCTCTGATGCTTCCCAGCAACCAAACCCTCCCTTTTGGCACAGATACTTGTCTGAGACTTCCCACTGACACTCCTTTTGACTGCCTCAAATCTCCCGAGAGCTTTTTCCTTCTCTTTGGTTTTACTCTCCCTTTTACTTTCTTCCTTGTTTACTCTCCATTCTTTACTTTTTCTTCCTACTACTGCTCTATTACTTGGCTGATTGACCCATTCCTGTCTCCCCATCTCTTTTCCTCATGCTTAGACAATTATCTCCTCCTCCAGTCTCATCACTGATTCTAGGTTTGATGCCTCACTGTTTTTCTTACAGGGGGTTTCCCAGCTCAGTCCACAAAAACAGTTTAACACAGAGATAACCAGGAATGTTAGTTCCTCAATGTATTTTTTTTTCCACTTTTCTCATTATCTTCCACTTCCATCCTCTACCAATGCATTTTCAAAAAGGTCCATCCGTCCCACCCCTTGACTGCTGCTCTTCACGTTTTAAGACAGATCTCATCTCACTTCACTTTCAACACCCAAGAGTTAGATATCAAGGTCTGACCAGTACATGGTTTCTTTGTAGTCAACAGAAAGAAATTACAGGAAGTTCTGCCTATGTCTTCCCACTAGCTGCAGAAGGAAACAGATGTGATTCACAGCTAGACATTTAATTTTCAGACTTCCGTTCTGGGGAAGATGACTGTTACATAACATAACAAGACACATATAGGACAACTGAGGGATCAGAAGAAGCCAGCATGGGATTATGAAAGGCTGCTCCTGCCTGACTAACCTGATCTTTTGTGATAAGATGACCCATTTAGTAGATAAGGGACAGGCTGTAGGTGTTGTTTTCCTGAATCTTAGTAAAGTGTCCTACAGTATTTTCCTGGAATAACTGACTGTTGGCTTGGACAGACGTACAGTTCACTGGGTGAAGAACTGCCTGGATGGCCAGTGCTTAAACAGTCCTAGTGAATGGGGTTCAGTTCAGTAGGCAGATAGTCAGCAGTGGCACTCCCTTGGGGTCACTACTGGGGCCAGTTTTATTTAACATTTTTATCCATGATCTAGATGAAGGGATAGAGAGCACCCTCAGTAACTTTACTGATAGCACCAAGCGAGGTGACAATGTTGACGTGCTTTAGGGCAGGAAGGCTCTGCAGAGGGATCTGGGTAAGCTGGATCAACAGGCTGAGTCCAATTGCATGACATTCAACAAGGGTAAGTGTCAGATCAGATCCTGCATTTCAGTAATAACAACCCCATGCAGTGGTACAGGCTTTTAGAAGAGTGGCTGGAAAGTCACCCAGCAGAAAAAGACAAGGCAATACTGGTCAACAGGTGAGTGAAAATGAGTCAGCAGTGTGCTCAGGTATCCAAGGCCGATGTCATCCTGGCTTGTATCAGAAATAGCATAGTCAGCAGGACAAGGAAAGTGATTGTCCCTTTGTATGCAACACTGGTAAGCCTGCACCTTGAATACTGTGTTCAATTTTGCACCCCTCACTACAAGAGAGATATTCATTTGCTCAAGCGTCTGCAGAGAAGAGCAACAAAGCTGCAGAAGGGTCTAGAAAACTAGACTTACGAGGAGTGACTGAAGAAAGAGGGTTAGGCTAGATTGGAAAAGAGGAGGCTAAAGGAAGATTTCATTGCTCTCTGCAACTACTGCAGCTACTTGAAAGGAGACTGCAGCAAGGAGAGTGTTGGTCTCTTTGTTGAGGTGACGAGTAATAGGATGTGAAGAAACAGTCTCAAGTTATGCCGTGGGAGGTTTAGGCTGGATATGAGGAAGATTTTCTTAATTGGAAAGGACTGCCCTGGGAAGTGGTGAAGTCTCAGTACCTGGAGCTGTTTAAGAGATGAGTGGGTATGGCACTAAGGGACATGATTTAGTGATGGAATACAGTAGGTCAGGTTGATAGTTGGACTTGGTGATCCTGAAGGTCTTTTCCAATGAAGATTCCATGATTCTATAAACATTACAACTTGAACAGCAGACAGAATAAGGATCAGAAACAGAACTGACCACTTCCACCCACACCCTGTTTGCTCAGAGCCGGGAAAGTCTGCAGTCTAAAAATGCTGGTTGCTCCTTGTGAACTTGAAACTATCAAAGAGCAAAGGTTATATGACATGATGCCAACAACAGTAAAGAACTGAAATCAGGGGGTTTCTCTCAGCCCTACGTTCATCATTCTTAGAGGAAGAACAATAAAAATATGATTACTATGTCTGTGCTCCATAAGTAAAGGGAATGAAAACATCTGAAATGCTTTGAGCATGCAGACCCCCCAATTGGCTTGTTGCAGCTAAGTATGCTATAAAAGGAAATGTACCATAATGGCTTTGGCATTGAACCCGTGCTGACCCAAAACTATCTGGATATGTACGACTTTGTCAACAGAATACTTGGAATATTTTGCTGAGTTTGCTCTCTGTTCTTGGACTTTTCTTTCTTTGCTAAGTAAATAAAACTTTTTGTACCATATCTTGTGAAATGGTGAATGCATTTAACTCTTAGTGGCAAAAGTGAAGCATAAGCAGTGCAAATACAAGTAGAAAATGGGACTCCTGAGCTTTTTCCAGGACTCAATTGACATGAAAATCTCACATCATTCCTAGAGGCAGATCATTGTATACAAGTCATCAGGACTGTTATACCTACCAGAATTCAACTAATTCATTGAATACAAATTCCAAAATAACAAATGATCAGTATTGATATACCAAGTATCAAATCAATGGAAGAGATCTGGCCCAACATGAGATATAAGACTCTTTAAATAATTCTGGTATTAAGTACAAAAAGGTTCACCACTGTTTGCTTAGAGTGTTTTTATAGAAAAATCAACCATATTCCTGGTAGCAAAATTCTCACCTGATCTAAACAGTTGCCCCTTAAGTAATGTAGTGCTTGCTGAATGCTATGGGGAAGAGGCTGTCCTGTTCTCTGGACATGAACTATCAGAGGCACGCCAAAGACATTCTTGTCCTTGTAGTCAGGGACTTTCATCCGCTTCATGAACTTTGGTACAGACCTGAAAATTGATGTGAACAGAGTGCATCAAAATATTTGAATATTTACAGAGCATTTCTGAGTAACACTGCAAGCAGAAATTGGTAACTGGGACCAGTTCCTATTTTATAAAGACAATTAAGTACTTTTCAACATGCAATACATCGACACTTTACAATCTGTATAATCAAAGGACATCTTAACAACTTTTACAGGTAGTTGGCCTCTGGCTCTAAGATACAGCATAACAGTCAGCTCTAGCAAAACACATTTACTGTGCAGTTGTCATCCAGCTGAAGGCAACATAATTTAAAATATCTATTAAGGACTCAAAGGAATAGCACAGGATAATTGGAGAGGGTATCTAAAAGAAAAGGAAGTTCAGTTCTCCAGTGTACTGAGCCATGTTTTATAGTATTAGTTACATAACTTAGTATTTCCATTGTCGAACAATTTACAGTAATAAAAGATGGTAGGAAAACCCTACGTGTCTGATGCATCCCTGGTGTCATACAGTTGATTCTAGCCAAGTTACTTAAGTGAAGCTGTTAAGCTTGCTTTCTTCCATAACCGATGGTGAAAATGAAAGAAACTGGATTTCCCCTGTCAGAGTCATGACTACAGTGGAATTAGAAAGAATAAAAAAATATGACCTGAATATGATGAAGATTTTCTTTTCCATGTGAGAAGGAAATAAAACTAAGATTAAATGACCCATTGAAGGAAAATAACATATAGATCTAAGCTATTTATAGGGTCCCACTGCTTCTAAATTCTTAAGAGACAGATTATACAAACAGAAGAAATATTTGTCCGGGAAGAAAACCTCAGTACAAACAGCAAGATCTAGAACTTGCTATATTCTAACCTGCCTGTTTGGTGTTGCGTAAAGTGAGACTCATTTCAGTACAGACATGTTGTCAGCTAGCCAGAGGGAATTTCACCAAAAGGGAACTGCAAGCTGGGGGCTCATCTTACTGAATTTTAGCTCTAAAAAATAGATTTCAGAAAGACTTAGCAGTCCCGACTGCCTCTATAACCATTGTGGAGTGAGGCACCTTTGGAGGTTGACCCAAACCTTCTGGCTTGGATAGAATGAGTTGCCTTTGAGGTTGCCTGTCTTCTTCCACTGACCACACAGGCAGACAACCTGATTTGCTCAGATTAGACTTATGATTTTTTGGAGTGGCTGATGTGTTTGAGGTGGTTCTCATGTAGTCCCCTGTATCTATTTCTCCACTTCTGAACACAAACTTGTCTTATTTAGCACACAGAAGAATTTATGGCAATTTTGGCGAAGTCTTTTGAAAGTGGAAATCACAATGTAAATGTCAAGTCATATATATATATATTTTTTGTCACAGAATTCATATATTAGGAGAAAAAATATCCTTTTCATTATTTCTGAGATACTTACAATCTCTTGTCTATGTTCATTTCTGTTCCAGGCTACCTTAGACTATGTGGTCCATCAGGGTCAGTACGCTATTATACATGCAGATTTCTGTAGCTGGTTGGATACAAAAGGGCCATGCTGCCACCATTCCTGTCTATCTTACCCTGACTCCGCTGTACAAGTGACCAGGTAGGTGTTACAGCTGTCACAACTAGAAGCTCACTTTAATGCAAGTCCAGACCTAGGGTAAAGTGTGTCCTTCTATTTGAAGACTTATTGTAAACACTTCCTCCTTTCAATCACTCTCTTCCTACTCCTGTTTATTTTTCTGGAACACAAGCGTTGCTAGAGAAGCTGAGGTTGTTTCTCTGTTAAGAGCACAGGAATGAAGTCAGATCTCCAGGATCTGGCTTGGCCACTGAGTCACTAGGTAGCAACAGATTAAAAGAGACAGTTTCAAATGCTACAATTACTGTCAATTGTACCTCCCAACTGTATTAATTCAGTTTACTATCACAATAATAGAATTAGAAAAAACTATTTCCTCCTAAATATATCTCTTTTCCAGATACTGACGGTACTTACCAGGTCCAGCCATGTTTGTTTGACATGGAGTACTTTTCCATGATGGCTGTAAGACGAAGTAGAGAAAATTTTTGCAGCAGATTCAGCTGGGCTGCTGACTGATTACTGATGTGAAGTGATGCGATGGAGTGGCTCAGACGATGAGAAATTTGGAAACTATGCCATCGTAATTGCCTTTAGGAAAAAAACAAAAAAAAAAAAATAGAAAAAGAGAACTCTTATTTGGGCAGAAAAGGATAGTATACTGTGAGATAAGGAAATGTACAAAACATGCAAAAACATACATTACCATGCATGCTGTGTCAACTGAAAGAAAATATAGCTTGGAGGCATACTAAACAATGTTTGATCTTTTTATTTTGGGAATATTCAAGCTTTTTTTTTTTACATTATATTCCCAAGAGATTGAGGGTCTCATGTATGTACTAAAGGAAGGAGTGTGACCTCTTACATCCATTAGCCTACACACTTCAACAGCACGTGGGAGTTCCAGATTAAAATGTTCTCTTCCTGACTCAGAAAAGGGATTTGATGCCTGGTCCCTAACCTCTCAGGAGACCAGTCTAACCACCGAGGTATTTGTAGATTAAGTTCTCCAACCAGCTCTATTTTTAAATATTGGAGGACTTTTTAGAGAAGGGATTGAACACTGAGTCTCCTAGGGAAGAGTGATAACCACCAAGCTGCTGAGACACTCACATCTTCTCTTTATTCCAATGTATTTTCTCTAAATACTGCATATATTGAAAAAAAAAAATCCTCCTTTCAGTTTCTTGTTTTGCTAAACATGAATTCTGGCACAATTCCTACAAACTTTGACACAGCTTATTAACTTAGCAGCTTACCCGAGTTCACTTGCTTGTGACAGTGGTGAGCAACCATGGGCAGCAATAAACTATGGCATGGAAGAATTCTCTGTGAGGATTCAAGACTGACTGCAGATCAGAAGGTAACAGGTATTTGCTCACTGCTTCTGCACACACAAACCCACAGCAGTATGGGTCCACAAAGGCCTTTACCCAGAGCAATGCTCCCTTGGCTCAGCAGAACTTATCCTGACCTTTTATTAACGGGTTAATTGTATACCAGATATGTAAGAGACTGAGGCAGGGTAGGGAAATACTCTTTTTGAACAAAGGGACACACTTTTAAAGTAGACCAGAGCCTAAAAAAGTGCATGAGACTATTGAAACATACACACTGGAGTACACAATTTGAAAGACAAGTTGAAAGTAAGATTCCAAAATATATACAGTGTCCTATTATGTAATTGAATATTATGGATCAAGAGAGAAAAAAAAATAGCTTGCCGATTCTCCACTGATTGCACTTAAAAAATTCCATAGTAGGATGCATTTTCTCCAGAACTCCCACACTTTCCCTGGGAAGTCCCCTTCCCCATACAGGATGAGTACAACTGTAATGATGTAATGATGTCAACCTTATGACTCATGAACTGAGAGCTTCTGTTTCATTTGTCATATTTCACACTTTGTCTTACTGTTAATGAAAGAGAAAGGATGGATTTCCATACCAAATCTTGCTACCTACCTGCTTGGCCTTGTGAGAGATGCTCCGACCCCAGAGTCTCTCCTCTCCCTAACACCAGTAGCCTCTGATTCATTCAGGGATGTTCCATCTCTGTCCATATCACTTGGTGTGGTCTGGCCATCAGAGACAGAGTTTCCTTCAAAATCAAGTGTGATCTGTGTGGTTGACTGGAAAGGTAATGATGGAGATTCTCTGACTGACACATCATCAACTGGCAGACTTGGCAACACATTTTTTGACCAACCATCTACTACATCCCGGAGTCCATTGACATGTTGCAAAATGTCATCTAAATGAGGAAAAAGTTCACCTTTTTCTAAATCCAGAAGGTCTCCAGTACTAGCATACAAGTGGGAACCAGGCACATTGTCATAAATACTAATTCTGCTCTCCTTAGGACAGCAAGCCATCAATCCAGCCTCTTTTGGAGTAGAGCAGTTCTGTTTTCCCAAAGAGATGCTGCCTGTCCTCCAGTTTACACCATTACTGTTGTCTGTAGGTGAGAGGCTTTCAATAGAAAGTGCCTTTGGGAAGGTCCCTGGTTTGTGGTCCTTGGGAATATGCACAACCAAGTTCTCTTGGGAATGAAATTCATTTTTGCGGTTTTGATCCACCACTTGCCTTAAAGCTGTTCCTGCCAGAACATCCAGATCATCCAGGTACATCCCACCTCTCTTGTTCGCTTCATGACATTTGCGTTCCTTCAAACATGGTGTGCTCACCCCGCTGCTGCTGTTTTCAGACTGACTGCTTTCACTGCTGGATTTGGCAGAAAAGGAAAGTCCTCTTTTGCCTGAATCTTGTGCTAAGTTTTGGAGATCCCCATTGACTATCTGTACACAGTGCATGTCCTTCAAGGATTTCGGCTCACGCTGAAGAACAGGTCTGCTTATCTCTAAAGGACCTGCTCTTCCTGAGCCTTTTAGTTTTCCATGCACACCTTTTGCTTTCAGTGTCTCCATGCGCTTTAGAAAGGTTTTTGTTTTGGTTCGCATTGGTTTCTCATTCTTAACGTTGTCCTTGGGGGACAGAACAGTGCTTATCACCATTAAGTCTGGCAGCAGAGTGCTCTCATGCTGGCCGGAGCAGTTGCAGGTCTCCCTGGCAATGCTGCTAATGCTGGACGGGCTCCTGTTGTCGCTTCCCCCACTGCTCTCACTGTGAACAGATGAGACCTCAGGTTCGCTCAGATCTGTAAGGACACTCTCACTGCTTGTTGTATTTTTCATTTTAATATCCCCAGAAGATCCATGTCTGTCTGACTGGTGAAGTAAAGCATCAATGTCGTCCACTCGAGACCATCGTCTGCTTGTTCTTTGGAAAGTCCATTTATTACTGATAGCACAGAGGTCTTCTTCATCTGAATCTTCACTCTAGAAAACAGCAAGTGTCATACATTAAAAGCAGGTGTTTTTTCTTTTTCTTTTTTTTTTTAATTAATGTGACTGCTGATTCATGTTAGCAACAGCTTGCAAGGTCTCCTTGAACTGAGTCTTATGAAAGATCAGCCATCAGCCCCTTCATAACAGCCTCTTTGATTTAACTGTAAATACTGCAGTGTGTATCTTAACAAGTACGTAATAAAAGCCTTCTCTTTGTTAGGGAACTTATAAGTCCTATCAATGTCTCTTGGCTTTAGGGTGATTTCCCTAGGCCCTACACTGTATAGGATTGATGCTCATAGTGACTGTAGAAAAAAAAAAAAAAAATAGGTTTTTAAAGGTCCAAGCAGGGATGGTGTTAAGATACACAGCAGTACAGACTGGGCAGCAGCTGGGCACCACAGCAAGGTGAGCCATTCAAATACCCAAGACAGAAAATACCCAATGCTGCACTTAGTTTTGCAAAGAGCAAAGTAACCATTTGCAAGAGCAGCAATAATCTTCACAGAGCAGGTGAATTCAACAAACTTTATGCTTCAGAAACACATCTCCAGATAAACAGCTGCAATGCTTAAAACAACAGTAAAAAAAAAAAAAGAACTTTTGGAGGCATTGCTCAAAGTATGCCTGAGGGCAGGTGTGGGGAAGAGGCAGCATGATCAGAGGGCTGGAGCACCTCTCCTACGAGGAAAGGTTGAGGGAACTGGGACTGTTTAGCTTGGAGAAGAGAAGGCTGCGGGGAGACCTCATAGTGGTCTTCCAGTACTTGAAGGGAACATATAAACAGGAGGGGGAATGGCTGTTTAGGAGGGTGGATTGTGATAGGAACAAGGGCGAATGGTTTTAAACTGAGACAGGGGAGGTTTGGGTTGGATATTAGGAGGAAGTTTTTCACACAGAGGGTGGTGACGCACTGGAACAGGTTGCCCAAGGAGGCTGTGGATGCCCCATCCCTGGAGGTATTCAAGGCCAGGCTGGATGTGGCTCTGGGCAGCCTGGTCTGCTGGTCGGCAACCCTGCACATAGCAGGGGTTTTGGAACTAGATGAACATTGTGGTCCTTTTCAACCCAGGACATTCTATGATTCTATGAAGAGGAGCAGCAATGCTCAGTCCTAGATGGTGCAGTGCCCACTGCTGAGGTGAACCCTCAGTCTCAGACATACAGTATTGTGCTTATGCTTCGGCAGCTCCAGGAGCTAATATAAACTGCAGACAACATGTACCTTGAAAAAAATTGGATAAAAAAGTTCTCCCTATGACATTTCTCTTGTCTGCTTGCCCAAACAAAAAAGACACATCTTCAGCATGAAGCACACAGCTTTGAACTTGCTGCACTCACAGGATGTGAAGCCCCAGCTGCTAATTAGTATCCTTTCCTTGACTTTCAACCAGATTTATACTGCATTACTCTTGTACATTTGTTTTACAGCAGAACAAACTAACTTCACCTACATGGCATCCACACAGCTCTTCACATTCTTGGAAGCAGGCAGAAGGCAGTAAAATATGACAGGCTGTCAGACCAAAACAAGGTGTTAAACCAGAAAGATTATTTTGGGAATGGAAAACAACTCATTTTAAAAGTCTATGATTAGAAGTAATTTTCAATGAAGTTTTGATGGTGAAGTTATCTCCCATCTGACTGGCTGGTCTAATTGAAAAATGTAAAACAAATTTTATCAGAACCTCTAAACCTTAAATAATATGAAGCTTCAAGAGATGGAGTTTGGGATCAGCAATGTGTCAGGTCTCCTTGTTGCCATAAGTTCTTCCTGGTTTATCACTTCAAGTCAGCCAGATGTTTTAGATCACGTACAAACTACAAAATGTAGCTATGAAATTTGGCGTTAGTCATTCCTGTTCTGTCTGTTAATGTCAAGACACACAACTCCTGCAGCTGGTGTTAGTGTGTGGGAATGAATGGATATTTTAGTTCTGCTGCTAGCTAGAGAGAAAAATTAAGCAAGTGATGCAGCAGGAAAGGGACTAGAGAAGGCTAATGCTACTTCGGCTGTTTTGTCTGTGGGGAAGAAATGGAGTACCAGCCAGTTCTACCTTTGTCTCAGCTCGGCAGTTTGCTGTAAGCATATACAGAGTGGTTGACTGCACAGACTGAGGCACTTAAAAATCCATCTATTGCGGCCTTCATAGTGCCACAAAGTGGATATTTTAGAAACCACAGGGGTACATACTTGAAAATATTTACTGGTAATTATATCTACAAAGCACATCGCTGCTGAAGTGTTGATGGCACTAATCAATGGAATAAAAAGATATATTTTTATTTATTATACATTCCAATAAACAAAAGGGACCTTAAAGAAGATTCTTGGCTGGCACAAATCCCTGTGGCTGCCCTGACATTACTGCATGACCTCACAGGGCTCGGCCTGTATTTTTTTACAAGCTGGAGTTGATTAAGCTAGCCCAAGTGGTGGAGGCATTGTGAAAAACAACAAGAGGAGTGCACAGAGCAGGAGAAGACAGAAATTTGGTGGTGAATGTACTTTAAATAATTTTTAGAGGAAAATAATTTTTTTTATAGAGAGAGATGAGCCCAAATGGACATTGGCAGTAAACAAGTTTTGCAACTAACAACAGCAAAGAGAGGATTACATTCTGCCCAAGAACCAGTCAGAAAATACAGAGGATGCTTGCTGTTGAGAAGACAAAAAAAAAAGATTTAATGTAGTGTTTGAATTGGTAATGAAACATGGTTGTGTTCCATCAGAAGACAAATCAGACAAATGAATTATCAGGACACTGAAATGCTACCATGGTGACTCACTCCAAATTCGGCTGCACTGTGTGTCCTGTGACATAATGTGCTTTTTCTTCTGATGGAATAAGTAGAAATTCTGGAACCCACAAACATCCTGAATGACCCAGTGTTCTTGTTATACATCAGAGCACCCTGACAAATGAGACAGTCCCCCAAAAATGCGGGGAGCACTTTGCCAGCTGACGTGTCACCAGCTATGGGGACAGTCTGAAAGGCACATTTCACATGGAGGAGCACACATCTTGGAGCACTGAGTGTGTATTTCTTCTGACCTAGGTCAAAATCAAGTGCACAGCTTTGGAGCACATTCAAAAGCCAATTTAATACCACTATGCTTGGGAAGACGAGAAAGGGCAAGTTTCTTGAGCAGAGACTGATAACATTTGCCAAAGAGAAAGAGTTTTTGGCTCACTGATTTGTCACAGCTGATTTAAAATGGTACGGGTGTTTGACTGAGGGTGTACTTTCCTCAGATACAGAGGGATGCTAACAAAAGGCAAAAAGTAGGTTTATTTGCAGTGGATTTTTGCCACATTTTTCCAGCTGGGGGCAGGAATTCTCATAAATCGACAGCTGCAGAAGGCAGTTAATCCAAAAGCTAATCTCTGCCTGTCCAAATCGCTTACAGACATACTTGTAACACATATATGAGGGTTTCCACGTGCATATTGATGAAGCCAACAGGAAGAGAGAAGCCCGAGGCGTGAGTGCACCTCCTAGCATGAAGCAGGTGGTGGGGAACGCTCACCCTCACTGGCTTCCACAGTCACCTCCTCTGGCAGCTTGCTTGGCTGTACTTGGGTGGATTGCTCAAGCAGCTGCTCTAATCCTGTGCAAACCTGTTATGCTGAACCTCCAAAGCAAGCTGATTTTGCATTTCATTGTTCAGATCACCATAAAGTCTATAAGGAAAGACAGTAGCTACTACAAAAACAAAAAAAGTTTACTTGATTCAATCTTTAATTCCAGACCCAACTTTCAGCTTTTATACTTGCATTTACATTTTCTTTTGTCGGTAGTCCTTTCTTTATCTCCTTTCCCCTACATTCTCTCCTACTTTCACTTGATCATTGTCTGCCAGCCCAAATTTCTTTTGTCCCCTCTTTCTCCACAGGCATCTGTGCTCCGCTTCTCCCTGGCATTATTACCTAGCTGATAAACTGAAGTGGTACCAGCAGGGCAGCCTCATCTTCACAGCAAAATAATGGTCATCTGCCAGGAAAGCAGCTGAGAGTTTCAATCCATTCAGAAGAGGAAGGATTGGCAGCAAAATTTAACAAAAATGGTAATAACAAAAAAATCCTCCATTTTTAACACAGTTAGACACATAACAAAGCAAGCAAGCAAACATACAAACCTCACAGCAAAGCCAAAAGAAAGACAAGAAATAACATCTAAACAAAATTTCCATAGGACAATTGGCATTCACCTATATGCTGCTTTCTGTAATTCTGTCAGCTCCAATATCTTTGCTTGAACACAAGTACGTGTGCGTATGCATATAGATCTGAAACTGCTCCAAGCAGGTCAACTTGAGTTGATTTGAGTTGGCTTTTGCTGATCAACCTGAACTTCTTGCTATATTACCTATCTGCCCCAAAACCTCTTGCTCCCCAAACCATAAACTGATCCTACAGCCAAGAGAGTTTACTGTTCCTCCTGTAGATGTGAGGTGAGTGTTTCGTGTGGGAAGTGTTGGCACTTAGCAAAAACAAGAAAAATCCATCAGCACCGAGGCAGTGAAAAGATGGAATCCCAGTGGCTTTGTGAGTGGACAAAATGCATGCTAAGTAGGCTACATGAACAGGGGAACAAATGGGCAAAAGCAGATGGCAGAATATCTAAAAAGTGAAGCCATTCTTTGTACAATGTCCCTCAAACAATAAACTGAGTATGAACAGATTAAATTTGCAAAAATACAAAAAAATGCAGCTCTTGGAGGCAGTCTTTAAAAAGAATTAGACAAATAGCCTAAGAAAGACAAATAGTACAAGATTTCTCAGCACCAGTTCCCATCTTTGTACACTAATGATGTGCCTGGGGGAATTTTTGACTAGAAAACCAAACATTCAAGAGTTAACACTGGGCATGTTACAAAATACTCAAAATCAATAGGCAGCTCCTGCATTCCTCACTGAAACCCTTTAAGCTCAAATAATTCCATTGTTACATAGAAGTCTGTAAAGAAGACAGGATTTATTTTCATATTCTTAACTAGGAATAAGTTGGTAGAAGATATAAAGAAAAGCTATTGTTTGTGTTCTAGGAGTTTCCTTTTTTTCCATAGCAGCATTTTCCATTGTGTACTCACATGGCACTGGCAAACAAGCCAGTAATGTATAACGTACAATTTTTTCACCCGCTAACTTGAATTGCAGATACATGAAGTTTGAAGTATTGCATGTGCCCTTCTAACACAACGTGGTATTGTTCCCACTGTATTCATCTCAGTTTTTCATTTTTTGATTGTATTTTCAAGATTCAGCAAACTGTTCTACTCTCAGATATTTCTGACTCACATGTTCAGAGTTAAATACACTTAACTTTTAAGAGCTTACTAAAAAACCTAATTTGGGAGCTGTTATCATGAAAGCCCAGGCAAAGCCAGTACTTTTCATGAAGTTGCCTTACCTTTTTTCTTTGGAAGTTCACATCGAGTTTCATTGAGGCGCACTTGTTCAGTGTGTTCAGTCGTCTACAGAGGAAAGCAAATTCAACAGATTAGCTGCCTTGGACTAAAGGGCACGACTTTTCATAAGTTCAAAAGCTTTTCTCTTATCTGCCTGTAAAGTGCTAACTGCATACAACAGGCTTCAGAAAACGATACTGTTCGTATTATTCCAAGCTACGAAACCACTGCATTAAAAGGGCGTCCTAGCTTTACATTCCTTGATAGTTTTCCTATATTGCTTTTTAATTCATAGACACTTAAGCACTTAACAAAGGAAACTGGCATGAATAAAACACCTCTGATGTATGGAGAAATGACAAGAGAACAGGGAGGTAAATTGCTTTCTGTAGGAACACAACATACCTGGTCTAAAATGATTACATGTAAATATTCGGAGATTTGGAGATTTCAAAGCACTCGTGAAAGACAAAACAAAAAGTCAGTTTCGGATTCAGTTCCTCACTTTTGGTAGTTAGTACAGCTTTTAGAAAGACACAAAGAATTTTTAGCAATTAAATATTTCTTTCACAGCTGATATTCCCTCCCTAAACATACGGGTCTTAGAGAAAGGTTAGCACACATCAAAGGAAACAGATTTAACGTCTTTAAGTATTTCTTGTTATTTCTGACCATGTTGTTCGTAATGATGTTACCAGAATCTCTGCAAGACCTCTGCTCTTTAAATCCATGGCTATTTCAGGAAAATAATGGGTTGAAATGACAATCTAATAATGATGGGAAGTGAATATGTGTTAGTGTGTGTCGATGTGCAGAGACAGAGCACCAGAAAACATGCTCTTTCAGTAGTGAACCTACCCTGCTAAGCATAATTTCTTCATTTCTATTTAGACCCAAAATTCCCGATTCATGAAATCATCTACTTTTTGAAACAGAGGCTCAGAGTTTAAAAAATAAAACTGTAAACATTTTCCTCATTTAGGGCTGAAATATGAGCAGAGTGAGAGAGGCATGTGCCCTCAAAACACTTCAGTGGGCTGCTAGTATCTCCTAAGTCTTTGCAGCAACAGCTGCCTCTTGTTTCTGCACCCCAGGAAGAGGCTGCAAATCTCCAGAACTGATAGCATTTAAAATATGTGTGATAAGTTACAAGGACATGTGAAAAAAAAAATCACATCAGTGACACAATCTCTCATTCAGCACTAGAGCATTATGGCATTAGCATTCTCTTCCCTGGCACTTGTAATATTAAAAATCCTTTCAAACTGCCACTGCTTGTAAAGAACTGGCTAAACAAATGCAGACGTTCCAGAAAAAAATTCCCTTGCAAAGTACCACCTGCTCATCTATAGATAAAATGCTCCTCCTCAGGCCAATAAAACCCTGATGCCATATCAGAAAAGCCCTATGCTCATCACATTAATGTGAGTATAATGAATGCACAAGCATGCCCCGCATGCATGGTAGTCATGTTCTTGTAATAAATTGCAGGCTTTGTAACACTATCTTCAGCCTTCTGCCCACAGACACTCCTCCTCAGGGGTTACATCTGTAATTGCAAAACTCATCTTTTGCCCAAACATGGAATTTCACAACCCAAAGTTGCATTTTCTCTGGCTCCAGCTGAGTTCTGCGCTTCTGCGCTTGTGATGATAAATTTGTGTGGATATCAACTCCAAATACACACAGACACACATTCAATGGACTCCAACCCAACTTTCTATCTGTGGAGCCAGCTTTCTCTGAGAGGTAAACCAGAAGCTCAGACCTCAGTCCCCATGCCTCTGCATTAACTGCCCTGTGCTGGAAGAGACAAGCTTGATGTGCTGCCTGGACACCAAACCTGGCAGCCACACATCTGAATCAAATTGCTGCAGTGATAAGCCCATGGGATAAGCCCATCTAGACTGCAAGAAGCACCACTAAAAGTCTCTACGGCGGCACCTGGATTCACTTGAACACTGCAATGCCCTCAGTCTGTGTTTCCTGTCAGTGTGAGTGAGACCTGGGGATGTCCTGAGATTCCACCTAGGTCTTATGGGTTGGGTTTCTTTCCTCTGTCTGACAGACTGGGGATGAAGACCAGGGTCTGCTGGACCCTGTCTGACTCAGCATCAGCCAGAGTGCAGCCATACCACGGACTGGGAAATCCTATCACAGAGTTTCTGTCACAGAGTCATTTGAGTTGGAAGGGACCCTTAAAGCCATGTGGTCCAACTTCCCTGCAATGAACAGGGTCACTTACAGCTATATCAGGTTGCTCAGAGCAGTCCAGCCTGACCTTGAATGAATCCAGGGATGAGGCATTCACCACCTCTCTGGAAGACGCAGAAGAAAACACTTCACATGTGGGAGCCAACACTTCTTTCAATCAGTATGATGCTGTTTGTCATCTAAAACCACGCAAGTGCACGCAATGCACTTTAGGAGCAGAGTGAGAAGAAAGTGACAGCCAGCAGCTTAACACTTTGCAGAAAGTGTTAGGGTATTTCTGTATGAAAGGGTTTCTTCTTAAGGTGCAGAAAGCTCATGGTTGAACAAACAAAACCATCCAAAGCAACTGCCTTCCTACTAACTGCATTAGTCTCAGCAGAGAATTGACAGGACAGCTCTATTCAAGCCGGTATCAGTGCTCAAAATGAACACTTAGAAAGCTACAGCACTGTCCTGGCCATTTTCTAATCTGGCTTTTTTTTACAAGGAACTCACTCCACCAAAAATAAAACTACTTCTTAATGGGAGCCAAGAGCTCAACATTAGGTTTTAAATTTACGCATCTACAAAACAATGGCATGCTGTCTGGGACTCTTCCAATACCATGGAAAGATTTGCCAGTGAAATTAGAAAACTAATGATCAGATTTGTTAGCTTGCCTGTTACTAACAACTCCAATCAAAGCGAGTCTGTTCCAACTTCTTATGCACTATTATGTGCCAGCAGTGGAAGAAAGCTTTTCTGATCTGCTTAAAGTTGTTAGATGATTGTCAGCCAAGTCCTCAACAAATCTTTCTAAAACCAAAAAATAAAAGTCTCTAGCTACAAAAGGCTGCTATTAATGTCCCAGCCGAAGTGAGAGAGGCACTAGATGGGAAAAGGATGCCTGCTAACAAAACACAAAATCTGGACTGAAAAAAGGCACAAATATCACATTAAATAAACACAGGAGAGGTGACTATACAGAAAACAAATCATGTAGGATGCATTTGAATACTTGCTTGGAGAGCTCTGCAGCGTTCAGAAAAAGCTTGGAAAACATTCACTATAGTAAGTACTTCCCTGCTAATATTATTTCTTCTTCAGGTCATCACAGGTGAACACTATGGTGAAACATCATCCCTACATTGAAAAGTGTTCCTTCATACAATGCTTAAACATACAAGGAATTATTCAGGTGCCCAAACAATGGTCTAATGCTATTTTAGATCCCCAGAATTATCAAGCCTGGCCTTCAGGTGCTGCAGGTGCTCTTGGTCAAGCCAGCCCATGGAGAAGTCTAAGTTCTTAGCAGATCTGAAGTGGAGTAGACACAGTTATTCAGGGCTCTGAATCCCACCCCCAGTGCTGTGCTTCTTAACCCACCTGATGGAAGTTGATCAGCTGAAGAAAATGTCTGCATTTTGCATACTGTATAGCACCAAGCAGCACTTACAAATAAATACAATCTTGTAGCAAAGATTATCTGGAAAACCTCATGGGTAAAGTGTTGCCCTGCTTGAAAAGCCATCTAGATAATAGAAAGTCAGTTCTGAAGCAACATGGAGTTCCATGAATTCCTATTCAGCAGCTGCATGCAACATTTTAGTGAGGAGGGCAGCACAGGGTACCACATCCAGTGGGGTGGGGAGGGCTGGTATGAACTGCAACCTTGGCTGCAGAATCTCCTACCTCTGCAAAAGTCCTTTGTTATGGATCATGACCAAGCAAACGCATTTTATAGTTCTCTGAACTCATCTCTGAGGGAAATAATCCTACACTATTTCTTTGTTTTATTATTATTCCTAGCCATGCTTAGGTGCTGCATACAAATGCCCCTAGCTGGCTTCTTCTGATATGATGGAATTTGGGAAGAGGACATATGACTCCTTATGTGGGGCTGTGCTGAAAACTGAATGCTGAATAAAGGCCTTCCCAGTACTACATGAGTTCTGTTGGGAAAGCTTGCACTGGCACATCCCTACTCCACTAGTTTTGCACATGAAGAGAATATGCTGCTTTCTAGTCCTATCACTTCTGCAGGCTCGCGCAAAGCAAAACAACTCTCCTTGAGATCAACAGGAGACATTCTACTAAAATTAAAGCAGGACTTTCCATGGTGCATCTGGAGAGCCTGGCTTACTTCCTAACAGCACGCACTGCAATTTTAACTCAGCAGATAGTGCTAACTATACATCACCATTTCAAATGCTATAGTATGCTATACCATATACAGTGACTTCTGGATTGCTAACAATCAAAGAGACATGGACTAAGGAAAAGGAGGCTGCTGGTTGTTTGGCACAGTTCAAATTTAAAGAGCCTTATTTAGGGCTCTCGTATCAGACCTGTATTTCATACTTGTTCTTTACATTCCCACTCACTGTATTTATATGAATACAAAACGTACAACATGGTTTGGCTTTTCCTTCTCACCCTCTTATCACAGTGGCCACAAAAGTTCCCAGAGCAGAGTTTGTTGCTGCTATTTTGGAAATGACATAGAGATCCAGCTATAAAATTTTCATGCCCAATTATTATTTTGGCGGGCTGACAGCGCTTGCCTGCAGATTGCATGGCAATTTTCTATTGTTCGTTACTCAATAAAATCTGAATGGAATCTCTTGATAGCAAAAAAGATACGCCTCTAACCCAAAAGGCTCCAATTTGGGCTTTGCTCTGCCAAATTTTCAAATGATATTGTAAGCAGCAGGAGTGTTAGAATATCTCAAAAAGGTCACAGAAATCTTTTGCAGCAGGGAGTTACAGGCTTTCTGACTAAAGTACTACCAGCTGCTGTCAAAAATGTTCCTCTGCATTTGTGCCTCTTACTGTCTTGTATATTGAATGTCATAGAAAACTGATTATAATGAGGTGAAGAATCTGATTTCAATCCAGAAGAGCAGCAAAATTCTGTGTTTAAAATTATCCTCTCAATAAAAACGAGTACCCTACTTTGTTTACTAGCATGGCCTGAATGCACTATTAGTCAGTGCAAAGGCCATGCACCGCTTTGAAGGCAGTGGGAGTTTTGGGTGTAAGAAGAATGGAAGTTTGGCACCCAACCTGGTAATCTGTATCCACAGAAATAACAACCAACCTTTTCTTAGCTTTCTGTTTTAGAAAAGCATGTCACAGCCCACAGCTCTTGAATGATGGATATATTGGCATTCACCTTGTGCTAACGTCATCACGGAACAAAGCAGGGGTAGAACACTGACCACTGTGGTCAGCTGAGCTGTGAGGAGTTACAGAGTGCTGGAAAACTTGGAAGACCTTGGTTTGGTTGCTAATACAGTAACACAGCTTGTAGCAGGGGGAGAGGCTGACACTATTTACTCTTCCTGGTGAACCAGAAACTTGACATTTGGCACAGCTGCTTTTTATGGGTCGGTCACTCTCAGCCAAAGGTTTAGTGCTGCTGAATTACTGCAAATTAGAAGTCTGCAAACTGAAAACATGACTCTCCCATCTATACAGCCTATCTATAATGCTTCTCTTTATGCCTGGCCCATACACAAAGTATCATTTCCTTCTAAACTACAAACTGTTTAAAAACATTCAACAAAAATTAAAGCCAAAGAATGTTATCTTCTGAATAAAATTATTACAGAAGTTACTAGATAGTCACTAAAACCTTTATTTTTCAATAAAACAATTTCAAAAGACTTTGGAAAGGCTTATGTACTGCATAAGGTCTTTGCAATATCATTTAATTTAGGTAAATATTAAGTACTATCTTTATTAGTAAATCTCTTGTTTATTTTTTAAAATCTCATATTTCAATAAAAGAGAGAAAAAAAACAAACACCAATTTCTAGCTTGTGTTCTACTCACAAAGAAATCATCATAAATGTAAATCTAGGGTAACCATTTAGGTGTATATGTGAGTCTACAGTCTGAAAGAGCAAAAGGTGAGCTGTTAGCACTTAGCTGAATAGGTCTTGGATGCTTTTCATCATAACTGAAGTACCACTATTGCTAAGTACTTTACAAAAGAATGGCTGGGGAGAGTCCTAGAGCTACGACAGCCACTCACTTTTTGCTCTCATGACAATGGGACAGGGACTGAGATCATACTCCCAATTTTGGATGGTGCTTCAATTTTGTGGGAAAGAATAGGTGGAAGAGACTTCCACCTCCTACCACTTCTCACTCCTTGGACTACAGCATTGGGGTGCCAGATTAAAACAGTGGGATATATGTATGTGTGGGAAGAAAGTTTCATAGGCGTGGGTACAGAAATCCTTCCCACTAGGTCATACAGAACAGCAATTAATCAAGCTTGCAGGCATTCATAAGAGCAATTACTGAAGGATCCAGATTTTTTTTTTCCTGCAGATTTCTTAAACATAGAGGTTACTACAGAGATAAAGTGAATATTCTGTTCCCCATATCCGTAAAACACAAATTGGGAAGTAATTTGCAGCAAGGGAGTTTTGGGAAAGCGTTCTGACAGGTATGCACAAGAATGTCATGGATCCTCCAGGAAGGATAGCATCTCCTGGCCTGGAAAGAGGGGCTAGGTTAACTGTCTTCCAGCCCTATTTGCTATCATTGTAGGAAATCCTTTCTGAGGCCTCTGTCACATCCTCATTAATGCCTGCAAGCAAAGAGCAGTGTGCCATGGAACAGTGTAGGTGTACTCTCTGATGACTTTAGCCACAGTTGCAGAAGGGCAAATAGAGTTTTCCTCAATATTTTGATGCTAGAGTTGTGCAAGTTTTCATAACATGTAATAAAGCCTGTTTGCTTAGGGGCCAGATGCTCCTTTGTCCTTACTGAAGTGGAGAGGAAAAAAAACTAGTTTGAGAAGAGAATAGGAGAAATCAGGAGGAAACATTGTCTCCGTAATGAGATTTTGCAGAACTACCACAGAATTGTTGCTTCTTAAGTCCTGGGGGGCCATACTGGTGCAAAGCAATACAGTATATTCATCACAGGCAGAGTACAAAAAGCTAGAATAAGAGCAAACACAAGCCTCTGGGAAGGGCAGACCAATGAGTAGTTATAGTAGCTGCAGTGCTGGGGTTCTGGTTCTAATTCTGTTGGTGATGCCAAAAGGAGAGTACCAAGGGAATCACAACAACATGAAAGTCATGACTGCTGCCAGAGAAAGCACTTGCAGAATTCTGTGCAATGAGATTCTATCTTTTCAGATGTGCTTGGACTCAGAGTTGTTCATGTGCAACTCAAACATGACTCCTTCACTTACTCAGAATTTCCTCATTACTGCTGGTTCTTTGTTAAAAATGAAGAGGTTTCAAATCCACTGGATTTGAGTCCTTCTCAAATCTTGTGTCTTCTCCAACCTTAATAATTCTGTGACACTATGACTCTTGTGCTAGGCTACTATGCAAAAAGCAACAAACCAGCTTATGTTTTTAAATTATCACAAAAGAAACTTTAGGTGTTATTTACCTGCAAAGAGGTTCTACAAGGTCCTTGTCAAGAAAATCATGATCTTTCTTTACTGCAGCAATGTCAATTGGAAACTGGGAGTCTATAAAAGGAGACACAATATTAAGACAACTGCTTGCTATTTAAATTAAAATAAATTGTCTACAACAAAAATGCTTTGCATGTACTTGCTTGCTGAAATACAGTAAGACTAACTGCACTCAGCTCTGGTTCCCTTCCAGCTGTATCAGTTACTTTATTATTTTTTTCTCTTAAATGCATAGCTGAGCATCCTGTGCACAAAAGAGACAGTAACATTATTTCACTTTGGCTTTAATAAGATATTAAATTGTTAGCTGGTGCCTAACACAAACAAATGAGATCAGAAAATTACCAACATGCTTTCATTATCCAACACGAGCAATAAGGTTCTTCGTCCCCATCAGAGCAACTTAATGAATTGCTGGATAGACTTTTCCCATGAAACAGGAACATTTTGAGCTTTTTGTTTTTAATACAACTCCCAACAACAACAATTTCAGACTAAGGGCTACTCACATAACAGAGATGAAAAAATGAACTGAATTATAACCCCCAATATGAGCCAAAAAGCCAGACTAGTGTTCTGGAAACTGATATTTGTAATGAAAAGTGACATGGCTGCAACACATTAGTGGGCTCCACAACAGTGGGATGGTCTCCAGCACGATGGCTGCACTCCAGATCGCCCTGCCATGTTTAGGCACCGCAGTGGGAAGCTGAGACACAGGGACTGCAGCCAGCATTTTCAGACACTAGTGCTTAACATTTATATAATAGATGCCTGGAAAAATGACCTTGTTTTCAGAGAGGCCGCCTGTCTAGAGTGCATACTGGTTTTAAGAGGGACTGTGGGAGCCCAGCATGGGTTGCATTTTGGATGGAACGCCCCTGTGAATTCAGCAGGCACTGGACTCTCCTTTCTCTGGGGGAGAGGGGAAGTGAGATACTCTGTAATGCAGACACAAAAGGCACTGCTGGGCACAGAGGGACTGAAGTAGATAGACATCTATGTCACCTCTAGGTGACAGGTTTATTAGTCCTACTTCCTTGATGGATTTAAGAGAGGCCACCTGGCTCCTGCTGAGCTATCTGAGCATCTCTGTGCAGACGCTGGCTCTACCCAGTGCACCTGTGAGGCCCACTGGCACCAGCAGGCCCTCAGCGGGCTGTTAGGAGCCACAAAGGTGTCCTTGGCACCGCGCTCCCCACCACTTCCAGCCCTGCAGAGCTGGCTTTGACCCACGAGGCTCCTTGGCTCTGTGCAAGGAGCTGTGCTGCCTCCAGACCCAAGCTGACCCTGGATACTGTCCAGCAGTGCTTGGCAGAGCTGCGCTTTGGCTAATAGGCCTGAGTGGGCCTGAGCGGGCCTGAGCTGGCTCCTGGTCTCTGGCAAGAGCAGAATAGGCAGTTTGGAAAAAATGAGGATCAGCTGCAGTTCTCCTGTCAGCACTGAGCTATGGAGAGCAGAAAAGAAACATTCCCACTCCCTAAACTGCTCTGAGTGCAGCAACAGCATAAACACTTGCCCTGTCCTCCAGGATGACACATTCTGATCACAACGGTGTCATCCACCCACCACAGGAGCATTCAGGAGGGGACGCAGCCATTTGCACTGAGTTAGCCCTGCTGTATTTTTGCTTTCTGCTTTACAGTGAGGTGAAATTTGAAACACAGCTCAAGTAATTCGCTTCTGGTAACCCTGCAGAGTTTTCAATCTTTTTTTTTTTTCAGTAAAATTGAAATTTTCAAAAACATTAATATTTGTAATCTTATTTCTGAAGGTTTAAAAAGTCTTGAATAATAATTAAAGAAAAAAAAGAGACGTATTTATTTGGATTTTTTGTACCTTTTTTTTTTCTGTTAACCTTCAAGGTTTACACAAGCTGTATCCCCCCGTTTTTTTTTTTTTTTTGGCCTTGGGGGCAGGAATCTTACTTTTCTTTAGGCATTCATGAAACTCCAGCAGATGAGGCTTTGTGAAGCAGCCAGCCATAGCAATAACTCACTCAAATGCAGAGCTGGCTGACTGCAAGCTCTCCTGGAAAGGACCCACTGAGCTTTCACTTCTGCACAAACAGGAGCAAAACTTACTTACTCTCATAGAACTGAGCATACTGGGGGAATCCAGCTGCACGTAACCAGTCACACGCTTCCTTTGCTTCGATTTCTGAGGAGAAAGAGAAAAGAGTCCACACTTTGTTATTCTGCATTAGAAGTTCTTTAATTACAAGGAGATAGCAATGAGATTTGGTAATAGATGCTCCCTGCTTAAAAGAATTGTTATTACTCAGAAGTATTTTTTCATGGCATCAGAAAATAGAACCCATCAAAGAAATCCACCTGCCTCCGTAGGTCTCCAGGGTTTGCACAGCTGCTTGGTGCATGAAACAAGGACACTGAAGTTTTAATCACCACAGGGAAGGAGAGCTGCTTGCCAGGCCTGTGGCCCTGGGTCCTATTCTCCCCTATGGACAAACTGCTGGGAAGAGGTGAAGATGAAGCCAGGTGGAAACGAAATGATAGGGAACATGCTCCAGGTTTTCTCCTCTGACACTTCTCACGAAGAAGCCAGGAAAAGCTTTGGACAGGTCTAATGCTACAGGTGGAATGCACCTGCCTAGCTATAGCCATCTGAACTCAATTACACTGAATCCCTCCACAGTCAATAGACAGTTACTTCTGAAGGGTGATTCATTTCACTTTGAAGTGCTGTCTACAATAGGTGGGATAGATCACTTACATTGCTTTCCTCTTGTGGCTGTTAACATGGGAAGAATAAACTGCTAGCTGCAGGTATGCCTGTGCAGCCAGATGAAATAAAGACCATGACAGGCAGCAGCTTCCAGCACTGCACCCAGAGCACTCACTCTTCTTTCATTTTAGTCCACTTCCAAGCCTATTTGGGACTGCTTCAGTTATCTCTCTTCAAGACAAATCTTCTCTTGAGAAGGCTAGCTCTAAGCAGCGTGGAGATGAATCAATTTGTCTTATTTTCTCCCTGAAGCACAGACACAGCTTGCTCTGGACTAACTTTTCACTTTCAAACAGCTTTCATTGGTAAGGCATTGGAACAGGCACCCAGGGAAGTGGTGGAGTCACTGTTCCTGGAAGTGTCCAAGAAATGTGTAGATGTGACACAGAGGGACATGGTTTAGTGGGCATGGTAAGGATGGGCTGATGGTTGGACTTGATGATCTTAGAGATCTTTTCCAACCTTAATGATTCTATAATTCTATGATTCTATGATGTAAGCCAGCTTCTTGGAAGAGGAATGGCCAGTTGGACAAGAGATCTGTCCCTCGGTTTGGAGCTGACAGCAGGGATAGCTGAGTATGGTGGAATGGAAGAAAACCATGCTCAAGACATGGATATTTCCCGACCTCTGTGATAACCCATTTATATTGATATGGTCACTTAATTTTTACCGAGAACTAAAAACAGAGGAACACCCAGGTCCACATAGATTGCCAGTGAAATCTGCACAACACTTCCTTGCTGCTCAGATCTAGACCAATAATTACCATGTAACTGGTTATGCTTTACAAAATCAAAGTCAAAATGTACCTGTATCTCTTATTTTTGCAAAAAACTAGATGTATTTCAGCTAAGGAATGGAGTGAGTGTTCAGGTGTTGAAGAAAGTAGACATTTATTTTGCTTATTATTCAATCTGAATTAATCAGACAAGTTTTGGCACATTTGGAGCTGTAAAATCTAGGCAGTCATAATATGAAACCCTAAATATAAAACAAGCAATGGAACTAGAAAAATAAAATCAGGTGCAGTTGCTCTTTTGCATGTTCTGCCTTGCATGCAAAAATATCCCAGTCATAAATCTGTTTTGTACTAAAATGCACTTTTATAGATAGGAGATGCTGACACAAATTTTTCCCTATGCAGTCTTGTTCAAATCCTCCTAATGACTTTACCCACTGAAGCTCACCATAAAACTAGCTTTGAATAAACTCTGCAGTGTGTGACCCACACACCTTTTAGTGATCCTTCATACACTGAGTCACACCAGTAAATTTTGCTGAAGAAATAAAAATTCAGAATACAAGGTCTACTTATCAAAAGCCCAATTTCCCAAAGATGATTAGACAGCCAAGAACAGCTCTGCAATGGCCACAATCATTAGCACTGCTGAATAGGATTTGCCACCAGGTCTTCATTTGCTTTGACATTAGCTCATGTCAAGGCCAAAAAACGGAGCATGAAAGTACATTCAATTCTTAATACTGCACAAAAGAATGAGCAGCTTACATAAAACGTGGCTCTCACTACTGCACATCTGTGTTCTGAAAGCACATCTCTATTATGTTCCAGTGAGGCTGAATATTTTTATTAAATGCCTGGAGAAAAGACAAGGCTTTATACTTTTTTTTTTTTGCTTAATTCAATCTCATGAAACACAGATGAATCAATCCCATTTCAAAATGTATTTTACAACTCATAACAGCTGTACGTACAGTCTAGCTTCATCTAGAAGCACAACTAACAGAGACCGTGGGTGATGGAGAATGCTACCATTTAATGCTCTTATATGCTTATCACATTTCAATGTTTTTTTGCAGTTGATTCTCAGAGGAGCTTGCTGAGGAATCTTCCCTCAGCTCAACTGAGATTGAAAAATCTCTGGTTGCAGTGAGTGGATAACTGTAGGCAACAATCTCACCCATTCAGTATTTGTTTGAGGCTACTGTTGTTTAAGGGTATTGCTTTTAAAGGCTCTGTGTAACATACTGTGACCCCCTCAAACTCAAACTGATTGACAGATTAACTTCCGCCTTCAAATTTTCGACTGTCTCTTCCATGAAGGTGTTTACTGGGAGTAATCTGATTTTCTGAACAATCACCTGAAACAAACAGATGCAGATTTGAATGAGATTTGCAAAACTAGCTTTCAGCACACTGTCAGACATGTATCACTGCCCAGTTCCCCTCACTTATTCTTCTCCTTCTAGATCTTACTCAGAGGAGAGCAGACAGGGAGAAGTTCAACATGCTACTGGCCCAGCCGAAAGGATGACTTTGCTTACATCAGAGAATCTCTTCTTGTTAAAAGCACTTGTTTCAGTCATTCCCCCCCCTGGCTGCTATTCAAATCCGAGTGAAAAGGCAGAAGCATTTGCCCTTCAGCAAAGATGAAAGTTGATTTCTGTTATCTCACCTCGGGCATGTAATCCAAGTTATGGTTCAGTATGCAATACATATTTTTTCATTACTGGATATTTTAATGCTTAAAATACAATTTGAGATGCTCAATTTAATATTCTCTATTTGCTTTTTGCTGCTTGCTAGTTAATCATCAGCCAAGGCTTATTTGGGAAGAGATGAGCGGAGCACCAAAAAGACCTCTCTGAAGATGTCAATGGAGGGTGGCAGAAATATTTTTGGCAGCATTGGTCTGGTTCTGCTCCCACGTTCAGGCTAAAGCAGCTGTCACAGCCAGACTGTGGCAGCTGTGCTGCTTTGGTGCAATCCTGCAAGCACCTGGAAAACTACATGTGTTCACAGGTTGTCAACTGCACAAAGAAGGGCTGTCACACTGAGAAGAGTGATTTGAGCAAGGACATGGCTCCTAGATTTGTGCTGAATGCCACAGAAACTTGTAAACCCAGCCTCAGGAACTTCATCTCCTGGCTTCTGTTGGGAATTTGGGAAACTGAAATTGTGGGTTCTGTGACCAAAAGGCTGCATGCCGAGCTGATCCAATGGTGTTTTTTTTCTTATGCGTTACTGTACTGTTCTACTGCCTGAAAAAGTCATGGATAATTTTCCACTTGCTTGGGTAGCAGCTAATGACAATCATTCATTAGTGAGGCAAGGCAATAACTCACTTGCAAATACTGACATGCATCAGTATGTCTCACATACCTGGAGTTCTCAAGGTTTTTTTTTGCTTTTAGTTGAAGCTTGGCAATAAACTAGTTACTCTTTGCATTCCTCTTTTGTACTGGTAACAAGTTACAGCTAATATTCACTTCGTCAAAAGTTCTTCAGCCACATTTTTGGGGAGACATATTAACAGAATTATAGAACCATTCAGGTTGCAAAGGACCCTTAAGATCACCAAGACCAGCCATAATCTAACACTACCAAATTCACCACAAAACCACATCCTTAAGCACCCACAGCGATCAGGCTGATGATGGCCTCCAGTCCTCTCATCTACCAGCACATGCCAGGTGGTTCATGCAAAGTCCCCTTCACATGTAATTGCCAACCTTCCTCACATCTTGCACCAGGGGCACCTCAGAAACTGCCCCCTTCTTCACCCAAACCTTTCAGTGCACATATGCAATCACTGGCTTAAAACCTCCTCCTCAATCAGACATGCCGTTGGGTTTTATGTGTTTTTTTTATTCCTTCAGGATTAGTTCTTAATCTTCCTGGAGGTGTCCCACTGTGTATAAAATTAAATGCATATCAGAGACACTGATACAATAACTCAAAGCACACACGGCACAGCAGAGACTGAAGTGCAAATCTCACATAGATTTTTTCATTTATTTAAGATGTAAGTAGAGTGAAATAAGGGAAGCGAGGTTCACCCAAAAAGCCTGACAGATGGCAAGAGCACAGCTGGGTATGGCTTCAAGTCCATGTTTGATGTTAGGTTTGCACTCATCTCCCATATAATGCGAATATGTGAATGCTCTGCCTATTCTGGTATTGAAATGAAATGGTGGATTGCAGACTTTCTCTCTCCTAATATTTTCCCAAACATTTAATGAACTGCTTGAATGGTGCCTGACACCAGAAGACTCCAGCAGTCAGCGGTTCCCAACAGGAACATCTTACCCAGCCTGCTCCCACCCCACATCAACTCTTGGCCAATCCAGTGAAGATCTTTCAACCCTCTAAGTTGGCAGAAGACTAACCCCAAAATCTGGGAATGCTGTTGGATTAGCAAACTGACCCAGTGCCTCCTAGTGTCTCAATTTAGTCCATGTTAACATTTCTTTGATTCTTGCATCAAAGAAAACCAAACCACTGCGACAGCCATTCCTCACATGAAAGAAAGAACTACCTAAAAAACTGTTAAGTTAAAATCACTGTCAAGAGAAAAGCATGGAAGTAAACTTGTTTCTAGCATGGGACCTTAGTATTGTCTGTATCAGTTATTACAGTTCTTTTCCTTCTCCCATCCAGACATCAGCAACTTCATCTCGCTTCAGCCTTTTGGCACTCCTGGTTTCTCTCTTTTTTGCTTTGGTGTTTCTCTCTTTTTTTTTTTTAATTTTTCCTCTTGTAATTTTAAGTTAAGATGTATATATCCCTTTGCACAATCCAGAAGAAGAAATAGCAACAAGAATTAAAAAAGTACAGAATTGCCTAATCTATTGTGTTTATGTCAACTTTATGTGTGATAACATTTATTATTCAACTGCCTGTAACAAATCACTATTTCTGCTCTTCTTTATTCCCCCCATCTTGCTAACCACTTAAATCTAATTTACTAGGTTTCAGATAAAAGATCTGGGACTGCTAGTAAAAATGATGGATCAAGTTGTTGGAAAGGAATCTTTTTTCTTGCACAGTCACATTAGTGGCTCCACTGGAAGCCAGGAGCTGGTCTGTTAGGTAGAATGGGTCTCAGTTCTGCAAGCATTGTTTGGAAACAGAACAACAGTTAGGTTACAGTTCACAGTATTTGCAGCTAGTTCGTTTGGTGCTATGTTTTATACTAACAAAGGATCCAAATCCTTGTCTTATCGTCTCCTTCAAGATGAAGAAAACTGTTGGGACAATGTCTACCTAACATTTTAGGGTCAGTTGGGAGGCTCAGCTCAGCCTTGGAGCTAAGAACTTTCTTTATTTTCAGTAGCCCCAGTGCAGCTGTGAGAAAGGCGAAGCAGATAGTATTGAGGAAGAAAACATTGATCCTATCTCACACCTGAGGCATGCTCGAGGCGCTGTGTGGGTGAATTCAGCCCTGCCTAGCTGAGCTGAATGCATCCCTTTTGCCCTGTATACATGCCATGCCACACAAATACTGTGTCACCTGCACGGTGAAATCATGGGGGCAGATGGATCTGATGGAAAGCTTAGTTCAGGCTGGGGCTGTTGAGAACAGATC